CAGAAAAAAAAAGGGCAGCAAGTGTAGGGAACACCACATTCTCCAAGTTCCAAGGTTCCCTGTCCTAACCTTTCTTCAATCTTGTAAACATTTTTGCACCTTATCTTCTTCACCTTTGCCATGACTTGCAGTGATCCAAGTAGACACACTCCTAAAATCTCTGTCCTTTACTCTATTTGGACCTTTATCTTGAAGCAGTAGGTAGCCTCATTATTTTTCCCACCAAAATACAAAACGTCAATCTTCCATCTGCAAATTCACTTCAGAATGACTGTGCCTGTCACAGGTCTCTCACATCGTGAATCCATCATATCAAGCACTCCATCTGGGGAGATAGAGCCCCAATCTGGCAAGATCCCAACACTACAGCTTCCAAAAGTAACTGCTAGGACAGCAATCTGGAGCACAGCTTCCTATTGAAAGGCTTCTTTTGTAACCTTGGTACTTCACTCAGTAACACACACACACACACAGTCTATTCTGACCTAAACTGACCCCAATTGGTTTTGAAAGAAAAGAACAAGAATATACAGAAATGAAACTCAACGTTAGTCATCAGTCACAAAATCTAGAACGAATAACCTTGTACAATAATATAGAATGTTGTTTCAATTTGCAGATTGTAAGCCAGAAGCAAAAACAGGAACTCTTTGAACCAGAAGTACCCTCCAGTTCATAAGTTTGCCTTGGATGAGTATTAGCTAATGGAGTAGACAAACTCTCCCTTTGTTATCCCACCATGTGTGATCAGCTAGGATGATACTGTACTTTCATGTCTGGAAGTGAGAGTGCAATGTCATCCATAATGATATCAGAGGTCACTTAGAAGGGAGTCCTTACATGAACTTCAAGAGAGATCGATGTAATACAGAGGCGTACATGGTTTAGAAATAGGCACTCAACTAGATTCTCCAAAACATACAGCTAAGATTCTCTAATCTTTACTGGTTAGACCTCAAACGTGAATAGAATCTACCTTAACCTTTACAACAAATACTAGAACTGCAAGTTTGTACCCATCAAAAAAGACTGAACATGCAGAAAGCCTTTCATCTAAAAGAAAGCAGATTTAGCAGTGACATAATAAATGTCTTCAACTATTGAGGAGATTTGATAGGGGTTGACAACTTATTAAAAGTCCTTTTACCCTACATGTGTAATATTAGAAGTAAAAATGACACTAATCCACAGAGAGGAGATATTAGAACAGACAACAAAAAGCTTGATCAAAAAGACAGGTTTTAAGGAGAAGCTTAAAGGATCAATATGAAACACAGATGGCAAGGTTCTGCAAAGGCATTCTAAGAGTTTAGGTAAACGAGAGCATGGCCTCCAATGGAGGATATTTATAACTGTGTGGTGCTCTGGGACCACAATCAAAAAGAGAGAAGTACAGAAATCTCAGAGGATTATGGAGCTGGAGAAGGTTACAGAGGTTCAGTGGGGTGAGGCTATGGAGGAATTTGAAAATGAGGATGATAACGTTAAAGTCAGGACACTGTTCAACTGGGAGTAAAACATAGGTCAGCAAACTCAAGGGGTGATAGGGAATAGGACTTGACACAAGGCAAAACATGGTCAAGGCCCCAGATGATCTCAGTTTTACATAGACAGAAAATACTTCCACTTGAAGGCGAGAACCAGAACTAGGGCAATAAGTGTAATTCATTCACCAACACATTCATTAGGGAACTCAGGGAAAACTTCTGGTAAAAACGTGGAACTCGCTGCCACACAAGCTACATAGAATTTGATTGTATCTTAGATATACTGTTATTTAACTTCTCCAAAATCAACTGATTAGGGGAGAAGAGAAAATTTACTGTGGAGTGTATATAGAAGTGTTATCATTGGTCTTTGAGGTCCGTTGTGCATTACCTCTGGAGGCTCTGGCTACTTTACTACAATAAAAATTCAAGTATGTTGGTACTTAATCTGTAAAGTTATGCAAGCAGAGCTTCAAACAACTCCTAACCAACAATCCAACAATATGCATGGTATATATCCCAGAAGACAAAATCAAGATATATTTTGTGAAAGGAAAAATACAACCAGGTTGGGGATCATAGAGAGACAGTGAGAGCGTGCATGCGAGAGAAGCAAAAACAAGTATTTTACAACAGAATAGATTATTGCCTTCCTAATCATTGATACAGCTGCCCCTAAAATCAGAAAATGCATACTATAATTCAGAAGATTAATTGGCCTGTATCGCAGCCATGACATAGCTACCCAGTTAGTCCCGCTATGTCCCATCCCATGGGGTGGCATGGTGGCTCAGTGGTTAGCATTGCTGCCTCACAGCGCCAGGAGCCTGGGTTCAGTTTGCACATTCTCCCTGTGTCTGCATGGGTTCCCTCCGGATGCTCCGGTTTCCTCCCACAGTCCAAAAGATGTGCAGGCTAGATGGATTGTCCATGCTAAATTGCCCATAGTGTTCAGGGATGTGTAGCTTAGGTGGGTTATAGGGGGATGGGTCTGGGTGGGATGCTCCAAGGGTCAGTGTGGACTTGTTGGACCGAAGGGTCTGTTTCCACACTGTAGGGATTCTATGAAATGAAATCCCAAACTTTTCTTTTCCCTATGAAATGTCACTCAATTCCCTTTTTAATGTTACGATTGAATCTGCTTCAACTGTCCATTAAGGTAGTGCATCCAGACCTGAACTCCTCCCTGCATAAAAACTCAGCTCCAACCCAGTTCTTCAACTTTAATCGTGCATTCACTGATTACTGATCCTCCTGACAGTGAGGCCAGTTTTGCCCAATCTACTACAATATATGCTTAAATGAGGGCAGGGGAAGGTTACCAAAGGAACCAGTCCTTTTTAAGCATTTTCTTCCCAAAAGTAATTTAATTCCTTTGAATTATATAGTGTGTTCTGCCAAGACCAATGAAATATTCATCAACATAAATCTGTGAGATGCCACAGTTAAAGACAATATTTTCCAACATCTTCTCTGAAGAACAACCCAGCAAATACATTGATATAGTCTCAGGGACTCCCATTACCACCTCCCCCGCCATCTGCTTCTAAGATACCAGATCCCACTGCTCAAAATAAAAGATATGTAGAAAATATTTAAAGAACTACTACATTAATGAGGCAAACACTAAAATTATATCACTCCAAGAAGCCCAGTTTCTTAATATACATTATTAAAGGGAGTCGCAGCACTTTTTAGAATGGCCATGCCATCAACATTTTCAGTCATTCTGCACAAATGGACAGGTATTGCCATGGTTTCAGGGGTCACACTACGCCCATGAGCTGACCTTCTATACATACCATATTCATAGGCTTTGGAAACAAACATATGCCAGTGCAAACATGACCTATTCTGGAGATTAGTTTCACAAGCCTCCAGGAAATCTGCACTCCTCTAATTTTAAATCATTTGCAGACCCTCCACTTCTGTTTGTTCTATTATTGGCAGTTGCGCCTTCAGCCATCCATGCCTCGAGTTCTGGAATTTTCTCCCTAAACCCTCCTGCCTCTCCATTGTCCCTTTATCTCTTAGACCAAACAGCCCTCGTGTAGGAATATTTCAAACAACAACTTGCATTTATATAGCACCTTTAATGTACCCAAACATGCTGTGCTACTTCATGGGTGTGTTCTCCTTTGCGCCAACCCTACCCCAAATACTGACTGAGCCACATAAGGACTTATTAGTGCAGGTGGCCAACATTTGTGCCTTAAAGAGGACAGAAAAGTAGACAGATTTATTAATGAGATGTTCACAAACCAAGGCCATTTTATCTTCTGGTCAACTGAAGCAATCCTATTGTAATATTCCAAAAGGAATGATTTGGATATGAACATAGGAGGTATGGTTAGCAAATTTGCAGATGACACTAAAATTGGAGGTATAGTGGACCGCAGAGGAGGTTACCTCAGAGTACAATGGGATCTTGATCAGATGGGACAATGGGCCGAGGAGTGGCAGATGGAGTTTAATTTAGATAAATATGAGGTGCTGCTTTTTAGAAAGATAAATCAGAGCAAGACTTTTACACTTAATGGTAAGGGCCTGGGGAGTGTTGCTGAACGAAGACCTTGCAGTGCAGGTTCATACTTCCTTGAAAGTGGAATTACAGGTGGACAGGATAGTGAAGGTGGCGTTTGGTATCCTTGCATTTATTGGTCAGTGCATTGAATACAGGAACTGGGAAGTCATGTTTTGGCTGTTCAGGACATTGGTTAAGCCACTATTAGAATACTGCATGCAATTCTAGTCTCTCTGCTATAGGAAGGATGTTGTGAAATTTGAAGGGGTTCAGAAAAGATTTACAAGGATGTTGCCAGGGTTGTAGGCTTCAACCTATAGGAAGAGGCTGTATAGACTGGGGCTATTTTCCCTGGACTATCGAAAGCTGAGGGGTAACCTTATAGAGGTTTATAAAATGAGGGACATGGTCTTTATAGACAATTGACAAGGACTTTACCCCAGCATGGGGGAGTCCTAAACTACAGGACAAAGGTTAAGGGAAGAGGGGAAAGCTTTAAAATGGACCCAAGGGTCAACTTTTTCAAGAAGGGGGTGGTATGTGTATGGAATGAGCTGCCAGAGGAAGTGGTTGAAGCCAGTACAATTACGACATTTAAAAGGCATATGGATGGCTTTATGAAAAGGAAAGGTTTAGAGGAATACAAGCCAAATGCTGGCTAATGGGACTAGATTTTTAGGGTATCTAGTCGGCATGGATGAATTGGACCGAAGGGTCTGTTTCTGTGCTGTATATCTCTATAACTCTATGAATACAATTCACCTAGTTAGCATTATCTCCTACCACTAGATACTGTTTTCTTTTTAAATATTAATAGTCATTAACTTGTATTTTTGTGGGAACTCATTAAAGACAAACTGGTGGCCATATTTCTTATATTACAACATTATTGCAAAGTATTTAACTGGGTGAAAGACAATCTATGCTGAAGTTGTGAAAGATGCTACAGGAATACAAACATTATCATCTTCCATGAATTAGGAGCTTACCTGCTATAATATCATCCATTTGCTCCAAGGCAGCTTCAAGCATGTGACTGGCATCTGAAGCCATATTGATGAACGACAGCTTTTATTTAAATTAGCTCCAAAAGATTAATCTGTGAATAAAATGAAGGCAAAGCAGAGTTGAAGTTTTAACATTGTATATATCAGAATTATCGAACACACTTGCAGTAGTAAAATGTCACACAGCATTTCACAGGAGTTACCAAACAAAGCTGGAGATATCAAGATCAAGGTGCCCAAAAGCTTATTCAAAGAAATAGATTTTAAGGAGCATTTGCAAGGAGTGAGAAGGTGGACAGGTTTACTGAGGGAATTCCATAGGCTATGGCAGCTGAAGGCATGGTCACCAACGGTGGACTGAATAAAATCAGAGATTGTCAAGTGTCAAGAATTGAAGGAATGCAGAGATCTCTGATGGTTGTACGGTTGGAAGAAGTAATGAAGTAAGGACAGGTGAAACCATGGAAGGATTTGAAGACAAGGATGGAAATATAAAATCTGGGTGCTGCTTTACTGGGAACATGTAGGTCAGTGAGCACAAGGCTGATGGAGGAATAGGACTTGGTTTGAGCTCAGAACCAGCTGCAGTGTTTGGATGAGTTAAAGCTTGTGGACGATAGAAGAGGAGGGCATTGGAATAGTGAAACCTCAAGGTACAGATGAGAGTTTCAGTGATGATCTGAGCGGTAGAACTGGGCAATAATACAGAGATAGAGAGAGATAGATGGTCGGTCTTCACAATGATGCGGAAGCTCACCTCAAGATTACCAAATGCATGGTTCAACCATAGTTGGTTGACGAGGAGAGGATGCGACAGAGAGTAGGGTCAAGACAGCTGCTTTGGTCTTTGTGGTATTTAGATGATGGAAACTTCCACTCACTCACTCAGTACCAGATGTCAGGCAAGCACTCTAAAATTGGAGACAGTGAAGGGATTGAGAGAGTCGATAGCTGTTGTGAGTGTACCTTGGTTTTTCAGAGCATTCAATTCCTTGGACAGTGTGCATACAGTGTTGTGATTATTATTAGTCATTTATATAAATGACAGATGACTGTGTGGGGGCATTAGATTAGTAAGTTTCTAGATGGTCGGGTTATTAACAGTGAGGTTGAGTACTTTGGGGGATGGTCAAATGGGCAGATAAATGGCAGGATGGCATTTAACCCTGAAAAAGACATGAGGTGATACACTTTGGAAGGTGTAACTTGACAAGAAAGTATTCAATAAATGGCATGAGACCAGAAAGTTCTGTGGAACAAAAGGGACCTTGGTGAGTTTGTCCATAGATCTCTGAAGGTGAAAGGGTATGTTGGTAGGTGGTGTGAATGGCATATGGGACACTCGTCCTTATCTATCGTGGCATAGGTTACAAAAGCAGGGAAGTCACGTTGGAGTTTAAAAACTTTGGGTGAGACCACAGCTAGAGCACTGTGTGCAGTTCTGGTCACTACATTACAGGAAGGATGTGATTGCACTGGAGCAGGAGCAGGGGAGATTCACCTCAGGATACTACCTGGGATGGAAAATGTAAGTTATGAGGAATGGTTGGATAGGCTTAAGTTGTTTCTGTTGGAACAGAATGAGGGGCAATCTAATTGAGGTGTACAAGTCTATGAAGGGCATAGACAGAGTGGATAGGGGAGCAGCTGTTCCCCTCAGTTCAAGGGTCAGTCAAGAGGGAACACAGGTTCAAGAAGAGTGGCAGGAGGTTTGGGGGGCGGAAAATGTGAGGAAAAACCTTTTTACCCAGAGGGTGGTGATGGTCTGGAATGCACTGCCTGGGGAGGGTGGTTGAGGCGAGCTGCCTCATATCCTTTAAAAAAGTACCTTGGATGAGCACTTGGCATGCCATTACATTCAAGGCTATGGGCCAAGTGCTGGGAAATGGGATTTAGGTTGAAGGTCAGGTGTTTCTCATGTGGCAGTGCAGACTCGATGGGCCAAAGGACCTCTTCTGCACTGTATGATTCTGCCTGCCAGTTAATTTGTTGTGGGACTGCAAGCTACACATGGAAGTCAGCTGGTTTGCTGAAATGTCTGCTTCATTACTTGTAATCGGCTTCACTGTTTGTAAGTAGAAAAATCTACAAGGTTAATCAATCCCTGATGAGTGACTGATTATTAGACCATTATCAATGACATTGACCATATGACCAAAAATAACCTAGCATTGTGGGTCAATCCAAAGCAGGAAGACTGCAGCGGTTCAAGAAGGCAGCTCACCACCACCTTCTCAGGGGCAGCCAGCAACACCCACATCCCACAAATGAATAGAGAAAAGAAATATATGAACACCTGGATTAGGGGAGAAGTAGGCCATTTGGCCCCTTGAGTCTGCTCCACCATTCAGTAAGATCATGTCTGATTGGTTTGTGTTTTGAATTGTCCATTTATCTGCAATTCCCAGTCCCATGTACCCCAATCAAATATTCAATTCCCTTACCCAGCGAGAACATAAATATCCACACACCTTAAAAACACAAAATGACCATGATTCCACTGCCACATCAGACAGATTTATAAAGTCGCATGGCCGTCAAAAGAAAAGCAATTCTCAATTTTTAAAACAGTACCTCCTCGTTCTAGACTCACGCAGGAGTGTGCACATCAAGACCGTTCAAGACCGTTCAAGACCGTTCAAGACCGTTCAAGAC